TAATGTCTTATTCGGCAAGACCTTATTCTAAATCCTGCACAATTCCTACCCAATTCTTAAACTTAACAACTACTTTCCTAAGTATTAATAAGTAGTAATTAGGGGTATATTGAGGCAAAAGTCATAGTTAATAGTGAGAAATGGACCCTAATCTAAAGTGTGACCAGAATAATTTATGTAGTTATTTTGTATTTATTTGAAAGAATTAAAAGAACCGTTTCATGTATATCCTTGTATTATTAACTTGTCGAGGTTGATATAGGATTTAGAAAGTAATAAGTAATTAAATACTTTTTGGAGAGAGTAATTTGTACAGTAATCTAATTACACCGTTGAAGATGTCATCAGTGCATTTCAAGGACATTTTGGCTTCATTTTTCTACGTTGTTAATTTTTTTTTTGCAGTCTATCCATAGACCACAGAAAAGCATTCCCTGTAATTTCTTCTATTGGCTCACACAAACAAATTGTCTCTTCTCAGTGAAGCAGAATAAACTTCAGACTCTCTCTCTGCGAGGATGTCCTGAAGTGGATGACTGGCTCCTTGCACGTCTCCATGTCTTTGGAGAAAGTCTGGTGGAGTTAGACCTGTCCCACTGCTCTCGTATCACTGTGGGAGGCCTCGCTGCATTACAGAACCTCAGGTCATTTTCTGCATTATAGAACCTCAGATCTTCACTTGTGACTTATGCATATATGCACATGTGCATTATCTGGAGCAACTTGATTTTTGTTGTCAGGGCAACAAATAACCAAAACCTACATTTGTATGTTTTTGAAAATCTCATATTCTGTGTTATTTTATTCCCTCCACCTTAAACCCTCAGAAAACTAGAGCGGCTGGACATTTCCGGACTTCCACGGCTGCAGAATCCAGGCCTGGTACGGATTCTACTGGAGGAAATGCTGCCGCACTGCCAGGTCTCTGGAGCGGAATACGAGCAGGGCCTGATCCAGCCAGACAGCCAAGAGCAAACAGAGGACCATCACCAAGCTTCCACACACACTGGACTTAGACATCTATAAACTATAGGGCTGATGACAGTGGAGATTCTATATTATTGTTCATTGCAGTGCCCAAACATGTTATTCTAATAAAGTGCTGTGCTCATGTTTAGGCTATGTTTCTGTTTTTACTGTGTACAATACATTGTATTTGATCATTGTTTTAAGACAGACACGATAAATACTGATGTTTAATATGCAAGTTGAGAACGTGTTCTTAAATTTGATTTATTAAATATAAACTATACTATGCTACCATTTAAAAAAAACAACAACAACAGGTGACAGGTGTCAAATCTGATTAGTCAGATAGAGTAAATCCTGTAATCCTTTTTGTGGAGGTGTGAGGATATTGGATCTAAGTGTTAGAAAGACTGAGGCACATACACAGGAAAGGTGGATGAAGAGACCTGACTTAAGGTAATGTTTTTTTCTTCTTCTCTCCATTATGCAAATATTTAAACAATTCAATTTCGATCAGAAAAGAAAAAAAAATGTTAAAAATGTAAAATAATATTATATAGATTAGTGGTCTTAACACCTAACGCTACTGTTTCTTACACTGTTGCATTAACATTGCCTTGAAAGACATGTTTTGTACAAAGTTTCCACCCGGAATATTTGAGCTACGAAGTGCATAGAAATATTATGTAGAAATAATACAGAAGGGGGTCTAATGGCAATTTTCAGGAATATCCGAACTGGGCGGGCATTAGAGGCCTGGAAGGAGTCTCTAATTGGTCAGGTATGATTATTAAACTTCCTGTTTTTTTTGGGGCTATTCAATTTTAACAGTGTTATTCAGGTGTAAAACATTTAAGACTGCCACTTAAGCAGCACTGACCGCAATGCATTATCATGCAACACTTGTTACTTTTCTCATCAATTAATTTTCTACCTATTAAATTGTGTTTTATCAACGTCTACACCTACCTCAACCCTAAACCTACCCCTTACAATAATGAAAAAATTTTAATTATTGTTGTACAGTGTGAGAAAAATTACGCTGTATTGATGTGCGCATGCCCAGTAGCACCATACGTGTCCCTTCTAACCTTAACCGACTAATCACAGTCGTTTGTAATCGCTGGGAAACATTATTATTATTTTTTTAATAATAATAATAATCCTTTACAATTTTTATAGACATTGCAAAAGCGGATTTTTATTTGCATACCAGGTAACACTCCTTTACATGGATACATTTAAAGGAATATACGATTAAGCGTACAAGTTTCCTTTGATTTGAATGCGACGCAACGGAGGACTCTGCTCTTTGAGCCTCTATTGCGCCCCCTCGAGGAACGCACTGCATGTTCCATAGGAACGTCGTCTACCACCTTATCAACATTTGCCACCCAATGAAATATTAGCCACGCACACAAGCAATTGTCCCTTTAAAAAAACACAGCTGTCATCTCATAACTTTGTGTTTTGGAACTTTTATTACTGTTTGAAAGTGGATAGATGTCTGAAGGTAGTATTACGAGTGTGCATTTGTTTATGTGGGTGTTATCAGACACAGTTAGCCTTTAGCAAAAGAGAAAGCTAGTTGTGTATTGGAAGTTCTTCCACTGTTTATGTGACTGATATTAGCTATTATGACATTCACATCAGTGTGGTATGTGTTATTTTGTCCTGTAGAGGTTTCTAAAAGGGCAGAAGAGGAGGCTGACACACCAGATCTCGAGGTAAATAAAGATACAATTGTGAGTACATTTTATTACAGAGATGCACATACGTCTATAGATATAAACATTACATGTAAGATATGTGCAAAACATCAGACACGTCACACAACACGTTCATTATACTTATCATGGAGATGTACCATAGTAATACCATGTATTTTGAGACTTGCATAAAGCTAGTACCATGTTTTGTTTTTGCACTTGGACCTTGGAAGTGACATTGTATTCTTTGTATTTATCAAAATACCATGCCATTACCATTTGACTTTACATAGTACGTTATTATTATTGTCAGTGGTTAAAATCTAAAACAACAATAGAATAATAAAATTGCATATTAATAAAATGATTTCATAAAACTCTGCCATTCAACCTGTGCCATTCGTTTTAAAAAGGTCCAATTTTAGCTGATATATTAGCTTGTTCTAGTGTTATTTCCCCCCTCTGCAGTGTTTTTATTTTTCAGTATTTTTTTCCTGCAAAACAAATGTATGCTTAGGAAATGAATATGTGAACATGAGATATAAACACAACATATGTAAATGTAGTAAACATCTACCATGTTCGGCACAGTAAGCCACCACTTTATATGTATGCCAGAATGAAAAGTATTATTTTGTTACACTTTTCTGCAGGGTCAGTCTGACGACAGCAGCGACGAGGGCGACGCTTCAGGAGACACTGAGAGTATATGTCAAATAGTCAGTCTTAAAGTACATTTAAAGAAATCATGTGATCTAAGCTGACGTTAGATATGTTCCTTTTTCAGTGGATTTCCTACGCAGTCTCTTCTCGCGAACTCTTGGCCTGAGTCCTGGAGAAAAAGTCTTGGATGAGCTGACCCTGGATGGGGTCGCCCGCTATATCCTGAGTGGCAAATGTGAGTTAACTTCTCAGATGAGTCCATTCTTTAAAAGTGAAGTGTGTTCAGTGTTAAAATACTTTATTATATTCAATTCAATATGAACAGTCAGCTGCAAAAAAAAAAAAAACATTTGTTGGTTGGCTTCCTGTGTAAACACTGAAGCTGCTAAAATATTGCACCTTTGTTTATGCAGAGTTATTTTTTGAATCAGCAGTGTTCAGTGTTAAAATACTTTATTATATTCAATTCAATATGAACAGTCAGCTGCAAAAAAAAAAAAACGTTTGTTGGTTGGCTTCCTGTGTAAACACTGAAGCTGCTAAAATATTGCACCTTTGTTTATGCAGAGTTATTTTTTGAATCAGCTACTGAGATGCCTTTCAGTAAGTTGGATGTGTCTGACTGTCTCAACAGGCAAGAACATTATCTGTATGGTTGGAGCTGGAATATCTACATGTAAGTAAATCACTTACCATAAAATGCATTTTTCTTAAAGGGGTCATATGATGCGATTTCAATTTTTCCTTTCTCTTTGGAGTGTTACAAGCTCTTGGTGCATAAAGAAGATCTGTAAAGTTGCAAAGACTAAAGTCTCAAATCCAAACAGATATTCTTTATAAAAGTTAAGAGTCAGCCACACCTACCTGAAACGGCTCGTTCTAACACGCCCCCACATATCTACATCACTGTGTGGGAAGATTTGCATAACGCCGCCCAAATGTTCATGCAAAGAAAGAAGGCGTAACTTTTATTCTCGCTGTAGTAATGTTGTTGGCAACACACCATGTCGTGAAGACGCTGTGTGTTTCGTTGTGAAAGCGAAACTACTTTGTTTGGCCTTCCAAAAGAGGACGATATCTGCTTCGTCATGCCTGGAGCTGATCCGTGCTGGTTGCTGAGGAAAAACTACAACTTTGCACTGTGGATCGCCGGATCGGCTTTCACCGTGGATGAAGCGGAGTCCAGCCCGGGGTCCTCACATGTGGTTGGAACACAAGCTTCCTTCGTCGAATCCGCCGGCCACACCGTTCTCAAGCCCGCAGCCTCTGCTCACTCTAGCCCCCGGCCTCCGCTCACTCTATGCCGCCGTGTGTGACGCTGTGTTTCGTTTGGCCTTCCAAAAATGGACACGACTAGAAATCAGTGGTTAAGTTGTATTTACAACACTGTTCCAGAACACTTCAACCCAAATATTCAGATGTGTGCAGCGCATTTTATAGAGGACTGTTTCCTGATCCTGGGAGAGTAGACTACAAGGCCGGCTGTTCTGACTCACAGACTGTAAGTACGTTTTTTATATATTTAAAGAGTTTTTATATTTAAACATTTTTATATTTAGAGTGAGTTTTTTGGGCAGTGTAGAGTAGGGCTATTATAGGTCCTATTATATGGTCCTTACTCTTATTATTATATAGCACTTCTCGTGTTTATGATGATAAATCGCAGTTTTCCTCAACTGTAAGTTACTTTGGATAAAAGCATCTGCCAAATGAATAAATGTAAATATTATTATGGCTTTAATTTGTAATTATTGATTCATATGTTACACTATTAATCAACCTGTAGTCTCTTCCTCATTTAGCTGCTGGAATCCCAGATTTCCGCTCTCCTGGCACTGGTCTATATGCCAATTTGCAGAAGTATAATCTGCCTTACCCAGAGGCCATCTTTCAGATCGACTATTTCAAGGTCTGATTTTCATTCTGAAGAAAAGCTACAATCTAATTTTTTGTCATCTAATAAGACAAATTTGTCATTCTCTCTTTCCAGAAACATCCAGAGCCCTTTTTTGCTCTTGCCCGAGAACTCTACCCAGGACAGTTTAAGGTAATTTATGAATCTTTTCTGACATACATGGGTCACCAATGAAATTCTATTAGAAATGAAAATCAAACCTGAGCAAGAATATTGCAACATCAGAAATCAACAGCTAATATGTCATTCATTTGCCAGTATAGAATATGCATAGCTAACAAAAGAGTTACGTGAAATGCATATTTACAGAAATGCTGGCAAACCCTCCACCGTGTTGTGCCTCATTCCATTATTATTGATTTCACATGCTCTTCTTTGTCTTGTCATGAGTTTGATAAGGCACCACATACAAATAATGACACATGTAATACTGTGTTTTTCTGTCACATGCTCTTTGGTTTCTTCAGCCCACAGTCTGTCACTATTTTATGAGGATGCTGAAGGACAAAGGTCTACTGACTCGATGTTACTCTCAGGTAAGAGAGTGTTTTTATGTGTAATTTTATGCTGTTATTGAAAAATAATAATTATTGTATATGTATTTTATAATATATAATTATTTCATATAATACAATTACTATTGTTATTTTTTAAGAATATCGATACTTTAGAGAGAGTTGCAGGTCTGGAAGGAGAGGACCTGATTGAAGCTCATGGTACTTTTCACACCTCTCACTGTGTGAGCTTCCTGTGTCGTAAGGAGTACTCCATGGACTGGATGAAAAGTACAGTATTGAACGCTGAAATTTCTCTGTGCTTTCTGTTTTAAATGAGATGTGGGAATATAGTGAACTATT